CGTAACAGCGCGTAGCGCCAAAAGCTGACAATAGCGAGCGCATCCGGTGCACCAGCTCCAAAGGCACGCAGGCACCAACACATGGCGCGCCCGTGCGTGTCAGCGGCCCGTTGTGTAATAACAAGCGGCGAATGGATCGGCGTGGGAGTAACGTATTGAAGCACGCATCGCGAAGCCTGCCGTACTTGTTGCCGGCGCTGAAAGAGGCCCCCCTTCGGAGGCAGAAGCGCAATGCGTTTTGCCATCTCGGCTATGTTTCAACGCGCGCTACTCCCGCGAGACAGTTGCGCGGAGTGGTCATTGTGGCCACGGGCAGGCGCTTGACCCCGCCGAGCGCCGTTAAAAGGGCGAAACAGCGGCAGCGTGGGCGTCTGTGGACGCCGCAGGCACGACGGCCTCGTGGGCGGCACCCAGACACCCCTTCGATGCACGCGCCGGTGATAGCGCGTCGCGCCCACCACACATGTGAACATCTTTCCACGTAACCGGGATGTTCAACTTCAGGCCATCGAAACAGCTGAGGACGAGGCCGCCAGCCATACCTCACTAAACAAGGCTGAGGCAATACACTTGTTTCCTCCTCCTCGTCTATGGAATGAGCAGTGTTCGCCCTGCATGCATGTGCGACTTTACACGTAGCATACATACGTGGTAAAAAAAAAAGTTTTGTATTATACAGTATGTTTCCAAAGATTTAGCCAGAATCGTTATGTATAGCCCGTCAAATAGAAGTGGCCTCCGTGAGCCACAAGCTAGAGTGGTGTCCCAAGCAACAAACAGACTCCCCAGAACCTCTTCGGGAGCGATGGCGTACAACGCTGCTCAGCTCCAATTTAGAAGACCGAACCTGGGCTGTCCTGCAGGCCAGGGATGCTACTAGGAGACAAGGTCTTCCATGCTTCATCTGAGCGGTCTGGCCCGGACCAGCCACTAGCCGGAGCTGGCAATAAAGTGGTTTCGTTCATTCATTTATGCTCATTCTCGTGACCCTACAGGGATTTTCATTAGCGTAGAGTCTCGTGTTGCTAGCCTCTCGAAGATGAGCTCTCGAAAATCAGGCATTTTGAACGACCCTACTTATAAATGCTGTGTTCGTTGAAGTGATATTTCGTATAGAAAAAAAGCTATACCGGGTGTTCAAAGTTAAGCTTTATGATTATTTTTTTTTTTAGAATTAGGTGCTCGAAGGCACGTGCGAACCACATGTGCAAGTAAGTTAAGCGGCCAGGGAAACAGAAAGTTAGGTGATAATTATCGATGTCAGCAGCCCAATCGACTAAAATTTAATAATCAACTTTCTTACTGACTGCGCTAAGTTGGCATGTTTATATTGAAAAAAAAAGTAGGCAGTGGTGTTTGTAACCAGTTTCAGTTGAGAGATATTTTCTTCCACACCTGTGTTTCCATATATCTGGCTCCAAATGTTTACTTGTCTTTCGCATGATCACGCATGCGAGAGGGAGAGGGTTCACGCCCCAGCCACCTAGACAATTTAAGGCGTGCTCGCTGTGTCGGCCACGGGCTGTGACGTCACTCCATTTTTATCAGTGTGTTTCGCTGCACAGGCGTGCCTACGCTTGTTCTCGTCGCTCGACAGACATGGATTGCCAAGCCCGACGAAAGTTCTCGTGGCGTGCTAGTGTTCTTGTTGGCGAATTGAGAACATCATATTTTTCTGTGTCCGTGAACTGCAGCATGGATATGTGATGCACTTTGAGCACTGGATATTCGCAACCTGTACGCCTGTATTTGGGTGATGCTGCGTGGCGAATTGTCGCGGCGAAGGGACCGATGCTGCGAGTGCTCTTGTTTTCTAAGGAAAACCGAAGAACGAAATGGGAGCGTGTAGTTCATCGAGCTGACGTCGACATCCGTTTTCTTCGTGACCTGAAGGTACGTGTGTCCGTACTACATATTTTAAGTCATCCCAATGGACCTTTCGAGAAATCGGTGCACGCTACCTAGGCTGGCCGCAAAGCATTATGGGAAGCTGGAGCGCCGGCGGAGTGTCGTCTGCTCGCGGAAGCGTTGGCTCACCTCGTTTCCCGCCGCGCGTGGGCGTACGAACGCATCATTGCGGGAATATCGCGCGTGATAACCCTGCTTCAATCTTCACTCATAGAAGAGGCACAACGCAGAGCAACATGAAGTCAGCAAACTTATCAGGCACCCGGGAAAATGCTAACGTACCCGCGAAAGAGCTCATTGAATTGGAAACATTACTCGGCTTTTGCGGTGAGCCTGTTCGCTTTGTTCGTCGTATTTCCATGTATCGGAAGCTTTTCTCTTTTGTTCTATTTTCAGCATGCCCATACAGCTTTACTATTAGTACTTTATGTTAGGCACTATCACTCGGGATATGCTTCCCCGTGATACATGCTGCAAGACCGTGGCACTTCGCGCATGATAATCAATGTCAAAATCCGACCCCTATAAATGGGTTCGAGCCCCACTATGCTGGTGGATCAGAATTCCAATTCCCTGTTTTCAAATGTTGTGCCTGAGAAACTTTGCAGTTAGGACGCCGAGAGTATAGTGAAAACCAGCTACCAACAAGCCCATAGAGCGAACATCAAGTGAGTATACTTTCGTGTGCGGAGATTACATAGTTATAGCGCAGTGTCGCACTTCATAATGCGAGAATATTGTGCGCATATTTGACTTCGCAGTGTTTTTGTGAAACAGCATAAAACATGCTGTCTCTGTGCCGTTCCTGTTAATAACTTAAAAATTTACGACCTGACTGCGCAAAGAGTAACCATGGGAAGAAATTCTCATGATTCCTTGTTTCATTACAGTTTATGGTCATGCTAATTTTGTAAATTGTCGTTTCGATGCAGCTGGCTCTGCAAGCCGCAGAAAACATAGCGGTTACTGTCACCTTTGCCCAAACGGCCATGAACTGAACATCTGAAGGACTCACCTCAGGCGTACTCAGAAGCCGAAATTCTTCTGAATAGAGCATTCTCATGATGGTAATAAGCACTCAATGTCTGGGCACAGTATGTTCAAGCCAGAAAACCTTGATGAGTAATGCTGTTTAAGGCTGCTAATGGTGATACTGTGACTCTAAAGGCAATGGTGGATGTTTCATTCAGTGTGTGAAATGTATAGAATACCACAGCAACACTTACATAAGTTGGCAACGTTACTTGGCTGCGAGTGTCGCTATTGTATCCGTAATAATGAAACTACAACTAGCATTTTTTGCCAATTGGCTCAGGGAACCAAAAAAAAGAAAAAAAGAGGTGCGCGAAACCACAGTAGGTGAAGCCTCTACTTTTTTGGTGAATAACAAGCAGATGGAACTGAAGATATAACCAAGCAGTAAACAGCGGAATAAACACTAAGCAAGACTGCAATAAAAAACTTGCAGTGTTTTTATGTATTTACCCAAAATGACTTGAAGGCGAAAGCCGTCTTTTTTTTTCTTTTTATTCAGTCGGTTTACAGTTTCTTTTTTTACCCATCCAAAGGTTTCCTGCACCTAAAGTGGCTTTGCGCTGGTTCTGTGAGCGGAGGCATTTCAAACATTTAGTACCTCACCTGGTTTTTCGCGGTCTCTGTGATTGGTGAGCCGATCACATAGACAGTGCAAAGCGACGATGTCGTGTGATGACGTGATTATTAGATCATCATGATGACTTTACACGTTATGTGTAATGTCCAGAACGTTACAGAATGTGTAAGGTCTGTGATCGTACACATTCTGTGGTACATGATGTCTCGATAACGTCCTATAGTGACGCGATAACGCGATAATTTTCGCGTCGCTCTTGTTGACGCTACCGCCACGGGATGCCATAGGCACCGACGGAATTTTTTTATTTTTCGGCGAGAACTGTAGGTGCCTAATTAAACGTTAAACTTGACCATTTGCGTCCCGCGTCGACGACGTCGAATGATCTGAAAAATCATCACGTGGTGATGACAACATATATGGCGTCAGACACCGCCCAAAATTGACATCATTAAAACGTCATGTGACTTCATGTGATCACGTCATCACGTATATCCGAGATTGTTCAAGGTGGTCTCATCATGGAGGCAATGCAAAACCTCATTATGTGCAGCAATTTTTTGAATGGTGGTGTGAATGGTGGTGAGCGTGGGCCTCGGCAGGGGGTGCAAAAGTGGCACTTAGCTTATTCAAGGCACGCCAGCACTTCCCCAAGTTACACCAGTGCTCTCCCCCAGCCACGATGTAAGACGGGTTCACACTCATGGCATGAACCTGCTGGCACTCATGGACTGGCCGTGTAGACTCTGGACATCGGCTGACAATAAAAACGATATGGTGTTCACCTTCGTGTCCTCTTATGTGAATGCGCAAGGAACCCTGTGATTTCTTAATGAGGCATCTAATGGTTTCGACTCTATAACTTCGCGTATTATGTAGTATGCTTCAGCGGTAAAAGCCCGGCCCCGCAATCACAGTGCATGAGAACTAAAATATCTTAGGAAAAGTCAAACTTAGCTGCAGCATCGCAAAAATTCAAGTCCTGAAGTAGCACTGAGCAATGAAACGAAACATCCTACGTCTTTCGCGTCTTACGACACCCACGAACAGATCAGGTTTGTTGGCCGCTTCCCTTCTTCTTTGGCATGTTCTGTGATGATTCTGGCCATTTGGGGCGAGCACTACAACCCAATTTATATGTGGGGTCCGACGTCCCAAAACAACCATATGAACTTCAGAGACACCGTAAAGGAGGGCTCCTAAAATTAGGACCACTAGGGTTCCTTAACGTGTTCCCGAATCTTAGCACGCGGACCTACGTCATTTTCACCTCCAACCTGCGTGTCAGCAGCCGAGTACCTTAGCCACTTGACCACCAGGGCGAGGAGAGGGAATCGCTGTCATCAGACTTTCCGTTTACCGGCCACAAGCTCGGCCAAATAAATATTTTATGTTGGACATAGGGACTCCTGCCTTCGAGAACGTCTCGACCACATGACCATGTATATATAATACCGCTGCATTTCAGGCGCAAACGCTTCTCAAGCTACGTTTTTACTTTCCAATGAGTCATATTTAGAGTCAACGCAGTGCATTCCTGCATTACTCTGGCAACAATTTTCGAACATGGGCTACGATAGCTGTGTAGATATATGGTCTTTCCATCATACCGCGAGGGCACAGATGCGGCTGGTTTTCTTGAATGGACATGCTGCCTTTCTGAGATACTATGACCGAATTAGACGTGTTCACTGCGGAGGAAGAGATTACAAAACGTAGGCTTTGGAGCTCAGTTTTCTTTTCCCACCACTGTCTTGCTTGAAAACTGCAGGGTGCACCAGTTGGTTGTCCTTACTGTAGCATAGTTAACTGGTTGCCCAGGTAGAAGACATTCAGTGGCCCGAGCAGGGTGAACCCTGAAAAATAATGTTATTTTCTTAAATAATGCTGTTGACATCTTACCAAAAAAAAAAAAGCAGGTTTATTTTGTCTCATCTCGCACATAGCCGATGCCTGGTAGAGTATCATGCTTATCGCTTGTATTTTTTTTTCATTTCGCCGCGCACGGGTGCGCGCGCCGTAGACCCTCGTGCGCGTAATAGGAGCAGTGAGACGACGGCGTTCGCTCGCGCTAAATTAATGAGAGCGCCGCGATCACAATAACAGTTCGCCTGGCCGCGTGTGTTTTCCTTGGGGGCCGAGCGGCAGCAAGAAGGCAGAGAGTGGCGCGCGCGACCTCGGCGCGAGCTTCTTGATGAACTTGCAGCACGGGGCGGGCGGGGGGTTAACGAGATCCAATTAGGCGAATAATTATCCATGCGCGTGCGCGAGTAAGGCACCAGCGCTTGGCTCGATCTCAATCGGCCTTCTCACCCCCATCCCCCCCCCTTTTGCGTCCTGTAATTAGCAAATAAAGCGCCTGTAATTAGTTGTCACTGGAACGTGGGACACGTGGCTGCGCCTTGTTTTTCCTGCGCACCAATCTCGTAATGAGCGCGCTGCACATCATTTTCATCTAACGTGCTAATTATAAAGGGAAGAACGCGAGGTGCGATAAAGCAAACAGGGACTGCCGACTCCTCGGGCAGCTGCTTGAAACAAGACGGAGAGGGGGCTGCAGTGGGCTCCTGATGCGCACGGCGACGCGAGGTGGCCGTACCGGACAGCGAAAATTGTCTATTCAGGAATTCCAGGCGTGCTCACAAAGGCGGGCCTGTGTGAGGGTAAGATGAAGGTGGCAGGTCAACGCTCCGGCCGCATCCCGGCTGTCTTAATAATATCGGAAGCGACACAGCGCGAGAGCTACACAGCTACTCGCTGCGGAAACAAGAGCGCATTGCCGCCGGCGAGCCCGAAGCGTGGGAAGCAGTCGTATCGCGCCGATGCAGGCCAGTCGGACCCCCTCGTCCCACCGGGACACCCCTGGGGCGCATAGCAGACCCCCCCCCCCCTCCCTCCTCCCACCTCCACTACCCACTCGGCTTCGCATAAAGCCAGTCGTCCGCGGTAGACGACCGGCGGCGACTAATATCTCTCTTCGCTCGTCTTCGCATGCAAATCTATTGAATTCGCTACATCCTTCGGAGGTGGAGGGCCTTCTATACACTTCCTACACGATATTGCATGTAAGGCCGCGTTTCATCTTTACCACGTACAGGAGTGCCGTATTTCCTGATAGATATCACCTCTGTAGCATCGACATGGTGTACGAAAAAAGAAGAAAAAAAAAACGTACGAGGCGTCTTTTTTTTTTAAATAAAGTTTCTCTCTTTCGATAATGGCACTATATTTCTTTTGCTTTTGAGCTGGTTCACGACTTGCATAGGTGACTGCAACGTTGCTTTTTGTTTGTTTCATAAGCCGTGAGTTCAAGGTCTTTGCGTAAGTTTTGTGTGCTTCATTATAAAGTACAAAACTAACTCGTGTATAATCAAGAAAAACGCATTTTCTGAACTGTTTTGTAATGACCGGTATAGATTATCTTATAATATATACCAACATAACAGAATTCAAGCTTTCAAGAAGTTTTCAAATAAGCGCCTCGAACTGCCGCGGTTGCTGCAAGAACTTTCCACACCTTGGCTGTAAGGAGACGCAAGAGAAACAGAATCCAGAAAACATTTACCCTAGCTGTCAGCCAGTTTTCCTTCAGAACGAAACCATTGCCAGATAATTGACGTGCAGATATAATTGGTTGACTTCTAACTGCCTGAATGTGTGTCCTCTGTTTGTTTTTGTAAGTTTGCGCTTTCACTCGGAATCGGCATGGATTAAGTGCCGCATCCTACGTTGGCGAAGAAAGCGGAAAAAGCTGCATTATTCGCGCTGTACATGAACTGGTGAACACACCACAAGTTAAAACAAAAGCACACAAAGCCAGATTGTTTAATATTACTGAGCGCGAATACTTCGAATGTTGTTCGAAAAAGCTGACGACTTTAAAACTAAGCTGAATGAGGCAATACGATCTTCATAACAGTGACGGCTCTGATATTGTCAGTATCTGCTCCGAATTTAAATCTTCCGGCTCTATAGACCTAATTTGCACCACTGCTCTTCCTTGTGCTGGAATGCATAATGCTTAAGAAACGAAATTATGCAAAAGTAATACTTACATAATCTTGGCAATTACTCACTCAATCGGCCATATTTATCTTTTTTGGGCGTGTGAGTTTAAATAACAAGGTAAAGTCATTCGAAGACATGTTGCCTTAAATTTGATATTGTGGACCTGCTATGAAACAAGAAATATCCTGCTTCCTGTATTTTTGAAATGCGCACGCTAATTACTTACGACCGCAGTGACTTAGCGAAGAAGAACACAATTTGTATTTGGAGGCGAAAATGGTGTAGGCCCGTGTGCTCAGATTTGGGTGCACGTTAAAGAACCCCAGGTGGTCGAAATCTCCAGAGCAGCGTCTCTCATAATCATATGGTGGTTTTGCGACGTTAAACCCCACTTATCTATCATCATCGAGACAACAACACAATTGGCAAGACTCATCGGCGGAATCACACTCCGCACCTATTTATTTATTCTGCACCACGCATCTGTCCGGCGGTACGCCGAAAGAAACCGAACGCCCGACTAATCTTTCCCACCCTCGCCGTAATCCCCAGACCCTCTGATTGCGTCCGCGGCCAGTTGTCACGAGCAGCCGCGTTTGCAAGGGTGGGACTGTTCTTGCTTCATCAACAGTGTCAGATCTGCTCTTCCGCAGCGTTTCAGTGCCTTGTCGTTTCTGTCCCCAGGACGTGTTGCTGTAGGACGCGTCCTCCGAGGCAAATCCTTCATCCTTCTTTAATCACTGCCAACCCCATTACCCGTTCATTTTCCTTCGACATACGTGTGGCCCTTTGTGGCCTATAGGCGTACAGCGAAATACAGGTCCCGATATGAAACATATTTACACACGTTGCAAGAACTTGACTGACACTCAGGCCGTGCAAGAGGTTAGGAGATGGCGCAGTTAATTCAAGAAAGAAAAAAGGCAACCATTTCTGGTGCAGCTTTTTTTCTGCAAAGAGAAATTGCTACGGAAAATGTTTACGCCCTTCTCGTGCATATCGTGCCTTGCAGAAAGTCGCACTGCCCCCTATTAGGAACGTCAAGTCGACATCCAGCAATCTGTGTGCGTGTTTCAATTCATAGCTGATACTTCCCGGGCGAAGACTTTGCATCAAAGGACAAACACACAAAGACTGTCCATTCGAAATTGCAAGAGGTCTCTAAGCCGATCAAGACAGTTTTCATCAAAGAACAAGGGTAGATTGAGAATTAAGTCGACGGCATTTTCTGCGGAGCGTTGGTTAGGTAGATTTTTTTTTACTCTTTTTGCAAATCAGGCAAATTGAACGACATTAAGCACACACACACACACACACACACACACACACACACACACACACACACACACACACACACACACACACACACACACACACACACGCACGCACACACACACACACACACACATGCACGCACACACACACTCACAAACGCACACACACACACATGCACGCACACACACGCACACACAAACGCACGCACGCACAAACACACACTCACACACGCACAAACACACGCACGTACAAACACACAGGCACGCACGCACACACACACGCACACACACACGCACGCACTCACACACACGCACAAACACACACGCATGCACACGCACACATGCACACACACGCACGCACACACACGCACGCACACACACGCACGCACACGTACGCACACGCACGCACACGCACACACACACACAAACACACACGCATGCACGCACGCACAAACACACACGCACGCACACACACGCACACACACGCACGCACACGCACACACACACACGCACACACACGCAAACGCACACACACACGCACAAACACGCACGCACGTACGCACACGCACACACGCACGCACACAAACACACATATGCACACGCACACACGCACACACACGCACACACACACACACATACCTTCGTGTCAGCCGTCTACGCCGTATAACTACTACACCACAATAAAAATAACGTAGTGGCGCTGTTATTTGTCTTCTAAACAATTGAATGGGATGTTAAGCTAGATGTCCCGAATTTTGAGACGATAAGCTGAATGTTTCGCCTCACCCCAAAATCAGTTCTCGGCATTTTTTCAGAGGCGAAGCCCCTTTGGACCTAACTTTGTCATCGAATCTCACTGTGTGCTGTCCCGGTACATAAAAAACCACTACTAAAGCCAGAACACATGTGTGTATGCCGCGATTACAGTTACCATTATAAAGCCTCAAATAAAAGCCATTGGAATCGCTCAAAAAACTCTTGAAATATCTCCATAAAAATAGGATCGACTAATTATTAAAGGTGATATGCTTTCGAAATCAACAAACCTGGCCAGCACAGTTCTGAAGGATGAGCACAATGGCATGTGGAAAGTGTCATGCGTGATGGCTTGTCATCAACGAAAGACACTGTTGAATCGGTTTTGTATTACAGGGCCTTGATTGTACAGGCCTACGGGACGGCTTTAGGCTCTCCCATAGTAGAGTACCCAGTACTATAAATCGTTACCCACTTTTTCTAAACACAGTATTTCCTTTCCTAGTTCATTCCGGGACGGCTTTACGCTCTACCATAGTAGAGTACCTAGTACTCTGAGTCGTTACCCACTCTTTATAAACACATTAGCTTGATTCCAAGACAACTTAAGAAGGTTGCGGTATTTCGTCCTCAAGGGTGAAACAGAAGTGTGCATGTTACGATTAAGAAACAAACTACACTTTAACCAAAAACTATCCGAGTTTGGGGTTTTTTGCGGCTCATGACCTCTGAAAACTCTCTCGCGTTTAAAATTACTACCTCGTGTAGGAGTAAAAGATGGTACATGACATAGTTTTACCACCACCTCTGAGGGTAGT